GAGGCGGCGCTGAAGCTCGTGGCGTTTGGGTTCCGCCGGTTCTTCAAGGACAGGTGTGGGTGGGGCCCTGGGGGGCAGGTGGGAGCCGCGGCCATCCTCCTGGGGGTCTGCGAGGTGTGAGGCGAGTGGGGGCACCGGGGGCCCCGGGGGCGTGTGCGAGGCCAGGGAGGGGCTGAGCCCCCGCCCGTGGCCGCGCAGGTGGAACCAGCTGGACCTGGCCATCGTCCTGTTGTCCATCGTGGGCATCGCGCTGGAGGAGATCGAGACCAGCGCCGCGCTGCCCGTCAACCCCACCATCATCCGCATCATGCGCGTGCTGCGCATCGCCCGCGGTAGGTGCCACGCGCCCGCCTGGGCTGCAGGGCCGGGCCGCCAGCCTGGGGGTCTGCGGGACGAGGGGCCAGCCGCGCTGACTCTCGGCTCCCGCTAGTGCTGAAGCTGCTCAAGATGGCCACGGGCATGCGCGCCCTGCTGGACACCGTGGTGCAAGCCCTGCCCCAGGTAGGTCGGCCACCGCCGCGGGCCAGCGTCACGGCGCCCCCAAGAGGACACGGCCACGGGGGCCTTACTCCTGTCACCCAGGCATGCACACGTGGTCTAGCCAGGCGGTCACACGGCAATTGCGCTGTGCCACGGGCGGGTTGGCGTGCCCGTCCACCCGCCACGTGTCTGCCCCAGTGGCCTCCCAGCCCATCTGTGGGGCCTTCCCAAGCGCTCCTGGGTCCCCCGTCAAGCACTAAGCATCCAGGGAGGGGCAGGAGGGAGGGTTAGGGCTTGGCCACACCCAGCTCGATGCCATAGTCAAGGGCAGGGGGCAGCCAGGTCAGGGGGCCTGCCGGACAGGGTGTGCATGTGTCCGGCAGGGTGGGGTGGCACCTGCCTGCGAAGGCCAGGGCTGGAGGCGACCCTTGCCCAGGGAAGGCCAGAGCCTCAGGGAGACCCTCCTGGCCTTGGGGAGCAGGAGAACCTGCCGGGCAGGCTGAGTGGGGGGGTCCCCGGATGTCGGGGGTGAAGAGTGGGCGTGGCAAGGGGCGGGGCTGGGGGTGGGGGAGGGACCCTGACCCCTGGTGGGGACAAGGAGCCCCAGGGGGCCCAGGAGGGACGTGGACTTGAGAGCAGGGGCCCGAGCCCATCTCTGGGGACTTGCTCCACCCCGGGGCCGGGAGAGCCCGGTGCCCGAGGGGCTGCAGCCGCCCGCCTGACCTCCCTCTGCTTCTCTCCGTGTAGGTAGGGAACCTTGGCCTTCTTTTCATGCTCCTGTTTTTTATCTATGCTGCCCTGGGAGTGGAGCTATTCGGGAGGCTCGGTGAGTGGGGCCACGCCACGCACCCCCGGCAGACGCGGGGTCCACCCACAGGCCGCCCAAGGCTGGGGGGCCACAGGCCTGCTGGAGTCCTCGGCCGGCCCTGTTCCCTCTGCCCTTCGCTGTGTGGGGCCGACGTCACAGCAGGTGCCCACGAGCACCTGCACACGCTCGGTCGCACAGCTCCCCGGCTTACGACACACGTGCAGACGTGCACACACACGGAGACACGCACACACTCCCCTGAGCCCCGCGTGATTTCTAGAAGACTGGTGGTGCTGGCTGCGTGTCCTTTGGGTTGTCCCCGTAACTTCTAAGACCACCACCCCCGCTAGGGCAGGCGGGGCCCTTCCCAGGCAGCCTAGGCCCCACTGGTCCCCTCCCTGCCTGTGGGGTCTTGCAGGGCCTCGGTGGCCGGGTCTGGCAGGCGCTGTGGCGGCCGTCCCAGCCCAGTGTGTGCCCACCTGGAGGGTCCATGCCAGCCAGCGCCCCAGACGCCCGGGCGTGGGCTCCGCTCGGCCCCCGCACGCACAGTCACGGACCGCAGGCGCTTCCGGCTCCTCTCAGGGCCCCTGCGGCCCCGCCCTGCGTCCCTGGGCAGTGTGCGAGGCCGGTGCGTGCAGCACCCCTGCGGGCAGCTGACCAGGCGGCCCCCCGGCAGAGTGCAGCGAGGACAACCCGTGCGAGGGCCTGAGCAGGCACGCCACCTTCTCCAACTTCGGCATGGCCTTCCTCACGCTGTTCCGCGTGTCCACCGGGGACAACTGGAACGGGATCATGAAGGTACCGCGTGGCTGCAGCTCCGGTCGGCGTGTGTTCCGAGGGGAGGGGGCCAGGGAGGGGCGGCGACACCCAGCCCCGCGGCCGCCCCCCCAGGACACGCTGCGCGAGTGCACCCACGAGGACAGGCACTGCCTCAGCTACCTGCCGGCCCTGTCGCCCGTCTACTTCGTGACCTTCGTGCTGGTGGCCCAGTTCGTGCTGGTCAACGTGGTGGTGGCCGTGCTGATGAAGCACCTGGAGGAGAGCAACAAGGAGGCGCGAGAGGACGCGGAGATGGACGCCGAGATCGAGCTGGAGATGGCGCAGGAGCCCCCGGCCGGGCCCGACGCGGACGCGCCTCCCTCGCCCCGCGAGAGCCCGGACGCCCCGAGCCTCCTGGCCGTGCGCAAGGTGTCCGTGTCCAGGATGCTCTCGCTGCCCAACGACAGCTACATGTTCCGGCCCGTGGCGCCCGCCTCGGCCCGCCACCCTCACCCGCTGCAGGAGGTGGAGACGGAGACCCGGGTGGGCGGCACCCTCGCGGGTACGGCTCCTGGCAGGGCAGCAGGAGACAAGGCGCAGGCGGGGACGGGGGCCGGTGGGCAGTGGCAGGACAGGGCGACCGCACGGCTCAGGCGTCTTCCTGCCCCAGGCTCGGCCACCCCTGCTCACTCGCCGCCCCCGGAGCCCTGCGCCTCTCTCCAGGTCCCGTTGGCAGCGTCCTCCCCGGCCAGGGGAAGCGACACTCTCCGCGCCCCGTCCCCTCGGGGCAACGCCCGCTCCCCCAGCCTCAGCCGGCCGCTTTGCAGACAGGTAGGAGCCGCCTCACCTTGCAGCTGAGGAGGAGGTGGGGCCCGGGGAGGGAGGCTGTGTGTTCCCGGGGCTCCGGAGTTTTCTGTCTGCCTCCTGGCAGGTCTCAGGGCCTGGAGCCCCGGAGGCTAGTGGGGGATGGAGAGGTGGCCTGGGCCCCAGCTCTGTGACCCTCGAGGCCTCCTGGGGCCCGGCAGGCTCTGCCCACAGAAGCTCAGACCTCCCGGGCCCTTCCCTCTGCCATTGCTCACAGAGCGGTGGTGCAGACTTGTCCCCGGGAGACCCACAGGGGGTGTGAGACGGGGCCAGTGACATCCGCAGCAGGAGCTGCCAGCTCACTGTGTCCCCAGCACCAGGTGGGAGGGGTTCTCCCTGGGGTCCCACGCCTCACCTTGACCTCGTGCCCTTGCAGGAGGCCATGCACACCGAGTCCCTGGAGGGGCGCAGTGACAGCCCTGGGGACAGTGCCCTGGACTCCAAGGAGCCTGAGAAGACCCCGGTGAGGCAGGTGTCCCTGGGGGGCTCCTCACGGCCCCCCAGCGTCCGCACCCGGAAGCACACATTTGGACAGCACTGCGTCTCCAGCCAGCCGCCGGCACCAGGCAGAGATGAGGCGGAGGCCGCGGAGGCCACGGACCCAGCGGATGAGGAAGTCAGCCACATCACCGGCGCCGCCCACGCCTGGTCGCCCCCGGCCGAGCCCCATGGCCCCGGGGTGTCGGGTGGCGAGCGGACCCCGTGTAGGCGCTGCAGCGTGGACGCCCAGGGCTTCCTGGACAGGCCGGGCCGCGCAGAAGAGCAGCGGTGGTCCGCGGCGGAGCCAGGTGGAGCAGAGGACGGCCTGGAGTCCGGGGAGGCAAAGGCCCGGGGCCTGGAGGCCGAGCCGGCCCTGGGCACACGGAGGAAGAAGAAGATGAGCCCCCCCTGCATCTCTGTAGACCCCCCCGCGGAGGACGAGGGCTCCACCCGGCCCCCCGCGGCAGAGGGCACCACCACCCTGAGGCGCAGGACCCCGTCCTGCGAGGCTGCGCCCCACAGGGACGCCCTGGAGCCCACGGAGGGCCCGGGTGCTGGAGGGGACCCTGCCGCCAGGGGGGAGCGGTGGGGCCCGGCCCCCTGCTGGGCGGAGCATCTGACTGTCCCCAGCTTTGCCTTCAAGCCGCTGGACCTGGGGGGCCCCGGGGGAGACCCTTTCTTGCACAGTGGCCACGGCCTGACCCCAGAGCCCAGAGCTTCCTCGGGGGCCGCGGCACCTCTGGAACCCCAAGAAACAGAGCCTCCTGTGCCCTCTGGTGACCCCCCAGAGAAGATGCGGGGGCTGTACCTCACTGTCCCCCAGCCCCCCATGAAGAAGCTGGGGTCTCCCCCCGCCACCCCTACCCCGGGCGAGGGTGCGGATGAGCCTGTGTAGTTCGGACCTTCGCGCGCTCGGGGTTTGGCGCTGGGCTGCCCGGCGGGGCGAGAGGCGCCAGGAGGCCGTCAGCCCGGGAGAGGCGGGGAGTCCCGCGAGCCGCCGTGGCCTCGACTCAGGTTTGGGTTTTTCAAATTTTGCCCGAGGCTGCGCGGGCCACGGGTCAGGAGTCCTGGGTGAGAGGCCGCGCCGAGGTCGAGGACCAGACACCCGCCACGAGGAGGAAGGCACCGCACCATCCTCAGGGTCCACGTTTTTATAGGGAGCACACACCAGGGCCCCTGGTGCCCTGGCTGGTAGCAGGCGTGGTCCCCGAGGCCACCGAAGCAGCGTCACCTTCGCTCACGGTCTGAGAGCTTGTCCCTCCGCCACGCCCCCTCACTCTCCCTCCCCCACTGTGCCCTCCCGCTCCCTAGACGTTCCGGAAACATCCGTGACTGGGCAGCGGCCGAGTCGCTGGGGACCTCGGCCCATGCAATAAGATGCCCCGGCCCCCGTGCGAGTGGGCCTGCCCCTCCGTCCGTCCGGGCCTCAGCCCACGTCCGTCTGTGGGGTGATTCAGGTTGGACGCGGCAGCAACAGCCCAGGCAGAAAACTCGAGGGAAGGGGAGGGAGGGAGCCACACGGAATAAACAGTAACTTATTTAAGAAACTCCTTGGATCACTGCTGTTGGGGTCAAGGGTCAGGGGTTATGGGGGGGCGACCCAGGCTGGGCGCAGCCAGCGCTTGGCCACCAGGGTGCAGGAGAGCAGCAGGAGGAGTCCAGGGAGGAAGAAGCCGGCCAGGAGGGGCAGCACGTGGGGCCCGGGGCGGGCAGACCCTGAGCCCTCTGAGGCCCGGATGTGGCAGCGGATCCAGTCCACGTAGGCAGTGACGCGGGTGTAGACCCTCGGCCGGGCGGCACGGCCCTCACGCAGCTCACAGTGCCGGCTTGCAGCCAGGAGCCGTCCACCCGGCAGACCAGGGGCTCTCCCGAGTCATCCTGGGGGCGCAGAAGGGGAAACCAGGACACTGGGAGGTGGGGTCCATCCTAGGGCTCTGGGCTTGCCTCCTGCACCGCGCCCGGCCTGTGCACCTTGCGGGCATCCCCGGGCCCTGGGCGCGCAGCATGTCGGGCTGGACCACGCCGCCCTCTGGGCTGGAGCAGTCCTGGTTGCAGGTGTCCGTGTCCACCACGGAGACTCCCGCCTCCTGCAGACTGTGTGGGGCCGGCAGGGGCTCTGGGGCGGGGAGACAGGCTTCAGGGGGGCTGGGCACCAGCCCCGCGCCGGCACGGGCGACCTGTGGGTCCTGCCCAGATGCAAGCCCCGCACCACGGTGACCCCAGGGACTGGCACACTGGCTGTGGGTCCACGTGGGTGGACTTGGGAATGGGGCAGCTGATGCAGGCAGCCCTGGCCAGCTGTCGAGGCCACCAGGAGGAGCGATGGCATCAGCAGGTCTCTCAATCCCAGTTCCTCATCCGCACGTCCCCACATCCCCACGGGGGCAGAGTGGTGGCTGGGGGCGCCTCACCTCCCTCCTGCGTGTAGCCCCAGCCGGTCACCCAGCACCATGTCCCAGGGCGGAAGTCGGCCGAGGCCTCTGGCAGGCACACGGGCAGCACCTGGCTGCAGAGGCTCACGGGGGCACTCAGCTGCACCAGGACGATGTCCCCACTGGACCCCGGTGGCCCTGTGGGGCTGGAGTCCAGGATGACCCGCCCCACGGTGGAGAAGCTGGGGGGCAGAGTGACCTTGAGCTCTCCCCAGTGCACCTGGTAGTCGGATGAGTTCAGGGACCTGGCAGGGAAGATCAGGAGGCTATGGGGGCGTCACCGCCCCGCGGGTGGCTGGCTGCAGAGGCACGAGGTTAGCACGGAGCCTGCCCAGACCCCACCCCCGCCAGGACCCCACCAACCCTTCCCTCCTTGGCTGAAGGTCCACTCTGGGCACCGGGGCCAAAGTCCAGCACGGCCCCACCTTGGGGGTCCTGTCGGCCCGACTGGTAGCCAGTGACACACCTCAGCCCAGGGGACTTGGCCAGGGGGAAGGTTTCGGGCTCTCACTCCCTGGGAAGAAGTGACAGCTGGAGGGAGGGAGGGGTGTTGTGCAGACAGCAGCAGCCTCACTCTGGGCGCTGGGAAACTCCCCAGGCGGCACCGGCCGGCGTGGTGGGTGGCATGCCCTCAGGACCCTGGGGCCACACACTGCCTCCCTATCCACTGAAGGGGAAACTGAGGCCCAGAGGGTTCCAGCTCAGGAGTGAGTCAAAGGCCAAGCGAGTCTCTGCACCCCCGTCCCCACTCACCCGGAGAAGCAGTGCCGGCCGTGAGCACCCACTGGGGGCTGAGCAGGGACCCTCCCCACACGTGCACTCTCCGCGGACAGAGGCTGGCCGGCCAGGGCCATGTGCCGGCTGGGACAGCGTGTCCCCCCACGATTCGGCCCCCCACATCTGAAACCTGGGGTCGGCCACACCCTAAGCCGAAAGAAAGAGGAGGGGTCGATAGTGGGGTATCCCGAGAGGCCCTCTGCCTCTTCCTCCAGGAAGCCTTCCCTGGCCAGCCCTCCCCACCACCTCGGCATTTTCCTCTTCCATTCTCAGCCCCCCATCTGCTGGGAGCCCCCGAAAGAAACAACACCCCAGCAGCCACACGCAGCACTGGCGCCCAGGTCTTGGTTTCTAAGCACCATGTTCCAAAAATCGTAACAGAGGACGCCGAACAGGGATGCGGGGGCCGGGGCAGCTCGTTGTGCCAGGAAAGGGGGGTGTGCTGGGGAGGGGCTCGGAGGAGAGGCCCCAAAACGGGCGCCAGAAAGACCCAGGAAGCCGGGGCGGTGTGGGGAGTGGCCCCAGAGGCCGTGATGAGGACCGAGGCGAGGGTCCTCCCTGGCGGTGAGACTGCAGGGGGGTTTGGGGCAAGCACGTGGTTTGCAGGGTCTCGAAGCATCTCCATACGAGACACAGCCGCAGGGGAAGAGCACAGCTGGGAGGGCCCCGGCCGCGAGGCCCGAGTGGAAACCACCATGAGGAGCTGTGCGGCCTCCCTGGGCCCCGTGATGTGACCCCTGGGGAGGACGCGGTGTCGCCTCTGGGCTCCTGCCAGGCCTCCCCTGCCCCCGCCCCACCCCCGTGAGACACACCTGGCTACAGAACCCCACGGGAGACACCTGCGGGAAGGAGACGGGCAGGCCCAGGATGAGGGGGTGGGAGGCTGCCTGGGGGAGGGGCGTCCACGCCCACCAGGCCTCAGGGTGGCCCTGGGTGGATCCCTTGTCCTAAGCAGGTGGGGCCAGGACTGGTGGCAGGGTAAAACCCGCCATGGGCCATAAATGGCAGCTGGGAGGCACAGAGCACTGCCTGGGGCCTCCTCCCCCCACCTGGGATCCAGGGCCTAGGGCTGCCGGCACCTCCACCCCGACCGCACCTGTGACCGGCCTCTGCCCCCAGGCACCGATGGCGGCCGCCCAGCACCCAGGCGCAGGCTGTGCAGAGAAAACACAGGCCCTGCGACGACGCGGGGCCTGGGCACGTGTCCCTCTCTGTCCCGCCCCAGCTTCACCCCAGCTCCGGCCAGCGCTCAAGCTCCCCGGGCCCAGGGACCAGGCCGTGAGGCTCCCACCCCAGGGTTGATGGGAGACACTGGAAATGCGTGAACACCCGGCTCCGGGAGGAGGCCCAGCCCCGGCAAGAGCAGACGCTCCCTCAGCGCACGCCCCGCAGCACGCCCGGCCGCTCACGCACCCAGCACGGCCAGGAGCAGCAGGCCACAGGGGCCCGGGGCCGTGGCTTCAGCCCACGCAGGGCGGAGGAGGAGCGGCCACCTGAGCCTCGGGCCCGCTGGGTGTGGGCCGCGGCAGGGACAGCCGCACCCCTGCTGTCGGGGCAGGAAGGTAGGACCAGGAGGAGGACGGCACCATGGGCAGGACCCACCTGCTCCTGTGCACACGCACAGGGAAGGACTGTCACCTCCGTTTGTCCCCATGTGGACACGGCAGCCCGGCCACCGAGCCCGCCCAGGGGCTCCCGCTCAGACCACAGCAGGGAAAGACCACCCAGTGCCTGGCTGCAAACCAGCATTTTGTCCTCCCCAGGGTGGGGCCAGGATGAGTGCCGCCCCCTCCAGGAAGCTCTCCCTGGTTCCCAAGGGACACGCTGGCCCACTGTCCTTCAACCTCTATGAGCCCCGTCTCAGGGTTCCCAGGCCAAGGCCCAGACACCCCTGTGGAGACAGCTCAGGTCCCCGTGACAACCCGCCCTCCGAGATGTCCCTGTCTCCACATCCGCCAGCGGGTCTCGAGGTCCCCACCACGGGTCAGATGGGCACCATCACACGGCTGCCAGCCGGGCCGGCCCTTCCTAACCGTCCTCTCTGTGGCCAGGGCCTGATGACCCAGCTGATTAGGGGCCCCGGGCAGCTGGGCCTTTCCTGCCCTCCCCAGCTCCAAGTCACAGGCCAGGGTTGGAGGGTCCCGCTGAGACCCTCGAGGTCAGGGACACTCCCCCTTAGATGTGGGGAAACTGAGGCACGAGGGGGCATTGCCTGATCACCCACCAGGACGTGGCCTCACGGGGCCCACACTTGGCCTCCTGCAGGCCAGCACCTGGCGGTCGGCAGCCCAGCCTCCAAACCCCAGTTAGATGTTGACCTGGTGACCGACAAGGACGACATCAGCCCACCCTCTGTGGCAGGGCCCCTTCCTCCCGCAGGACGGCCGCACACCTGGGCCGGTGTAGCTGGCGGGGGTGGGAGCTACGCGGTCAGCCCTGCACAGTGGGGGCAGGGTCTGGGCCAGGAGTCCCCGCCCGGGTCCCCTCTACCCGGGCCCAGTGCAGGGGGCAGAGGGCAGGGTCTTCATGGAACCAGGTGCTCTGAGTCCTGAGCTCCAGGCCATCCCCGGGTCCCCACAGGAGGGACTTCTGGGCCTTCACCGGTCCCGGCTCCATGTGCCTCCGGCACTGGGGATCCCCCCACCGCACGGCTCCCTGCGGAGCACCACGCCCCGGCTCCAGGCCTGCTGTGCAGAAAGGAGCCCCAACGCCAGCCTGCGACGGGAGGTAAGCGGAGGCTCGGGGGCCTGGCCCTGGCAATGCCCCTGGCCTGGCGGGGTCTCCCGTAGCCCACTGGGCATGGACCCTGGGGTCTGCAGTTTCCAGTCGGGGAGCAGGACACTCCCCAATCGGGGCCTCGGGGTGGGAGCGGGCCTGGGCCTGGGTCCGCAACAGCTAAAATCTCCATCTGCGAACACAAACCCCCACCTCCGCAAGGCAACCGAAACGGTTTTCGGCAACTGCTAAAGACCAACCGGTAATGGATTGATTTAATTAAAAATCTCAGAACAATGAAAATAAACTTAAAGCCCCAACAGCTGTGGACAAAGGAGCGGCAGAGGCAATTCACAGACGCGGGAAAGCTGCGGCTCCGGGATGAAACGGCGCAGACCGCGCAGGGCTGCTTGGCGCAAGAGCTGCAGACTCGCAGTGTGTTCGTGCGTTCCGCTTTTCCCAGAACGCAGCGGGTGATACGAGCATCGCACCGTGTCCCACATAGCACACGTCACCTCTGCCCCGTTGCGCATCACCGCACAAGCACGGGATGTGTCATTTGTGCCCAGTGCTGGCCAGGGACGAAGTGAGCACTGTGACCTGGGACCGGGTAGATTGCTGGGAACAGTCTTTCTAGAAACAACGTGGCTTTGCCATGGGCGTCCTCTGGGACTCTGCCCTAAGGGAGATCTTCGATGAAGCAGCTCTAGGAAGACGGCCAGCAGCCCGGCGTTATTCACGCCAGCAAAGGGATGGAAGCGGTAGAGTTTCTAACAAAAGGCCATTAGTGCTGAGTGAAAAAAGCAGGTCTCAGGGTGTGACAATCAGAGCAGTTACACAAACGACAACCCCAGGAGAAACAAAACTATGGTGCACCCAGGCGTGCGGGACAAGCCCAGAGCCCACGCTGGAGCCCACAGTGCAGGGAGGGTGCGGGGCTGCGGGGTGCGGTGGCCCTGCTGGCTCTGGGCCGGGCACAGGTGCCTGGTGTCCTCTGTGATCAACTTTCAACCGTCCGTCCCCCGTGCTGCTCTGCCTGCCCCGAGTCCCCGAGTGCAGGACGCCTGTGAGGGAGGAGTCAGCCCTCGGTCCCAGGAGGCCCCGTCCCACAGTGACACGCTGGGGCTCGGGGACCGGGGACCCTGCAGCTCCGGCAGCTGCACCCGGCCGTGCCCTGGAGCCCCTTCCCCAGCAACACCCACACCAGGAACACAGTGACAGCCGTGCCTGCTTCTCATGCACTTTAATGAGACAGTGTGCAGACAGTCAGCGCGTGAGCAGGGCAGGGTGGGAGGGAGCAGAGGGGAAGGGGCTCCGGATGGGGCAGGGGCTCGGGTGGGGCAGGGGAGGCGGCTCCGGACAGGAGACAGGGTCAGGACCGAGGACGGGGAAGCTGTGCTGGGGGTGGACCCCACCTGGGTGGAAAGCAGCAATGCTGGGGACAGGAGGGAGCTGGCTTCTCCCCTGACCCGGCGGCAGCCCTGGGGACCTGGCTCAGGGCTCCCTGGGGACGTAGCGGCGGATCCAGTCCACGTAGTGGGTGACGCGGGTGTAAATGCCAGGCCGGTTGGGCTGAGCGCAGCCGTCGCCCCAGCTGACCACGCCCGCCTGCAGCCAGGTGCCCTTCACCCTGCAGGCCAGGGGCCCTCCGGAGTCGCCCTGGGGAGGGCGAGGGTCAGGGCTCGCTGTCCGGCCCGGGAGGGCGGGGTGTGGGGGACGCGAGGGGCCCACCTGGCAGGAGTCCTTCCGGCTATTCCCAGCACAAAGCATGTCGTCCCGGACAATGTGGACGTTGTCCCCCGTGGCGAGGCCAGTGTGGTATCTGGCGTCACAGATGTGGTTTTCCACTATGGGGACCCTCACCTGCTTCAGAGGAAACGGTGGCGGCAGGTGCACTGAGGGTGGGAGGAGAAGGTGCAGCTTCAGGAGGGGGCGACCGACTCCCACCCCCGGGCAGGCCTGGCGGCCCCTGTCCCCAAGAGGGAGGCCCCGGCCCTGGGGCCATGCTGTGGCCCTGCCCCACCCGCCCCAGCGTCCAGCCGTCCCTGACGCGTACCACCATCTTCCACGTCACCCCAGCCTGTCACCCAGCACCGCGTCCCCGGGGGGAAGGTCTCCGAGGCCCGGGGCAGGGTGATCGTGTGGACCTGGCCGGAGATGTTCACGGGGTCCTCCAGCTCCAGCAGGGCGATGTCCGCCCCGGCTGGGGGGGTGTAGTAGTCGGGGTGGGGGATGACCCTGCTGACGGGCAGCAGTCTGTCGCGGTAGTAGAGGTGCTGCTCGCGCAGCTGCACCCTGATGTCTGCCGGGTCCTGGACTTCCCTGGACAGGAGACTCCTCCTCAGGGGACCTGAGCAGCCCCCAGGAGCACCCGGGAGTCAGGGCGGACCCCGGGCCCTCCCCACCCGCCAGGCCCCGAGGAGACTCACGGTCCCACGCAGTGCGCCGCTGTCAGCACCCACTGGGGGTGGATGAGGGAGCCCCCGCAGATGTGCTCCCAGAACTGGCCATTGGACCTCAGGCTCACCTGCCAGGGCCACCTGCTCCCAGGTGCCTCCTGGCCCCCCACGATCCCCGCTCGCTCCAGGGCCCGGCCTGGGGCTGGGGCGGGACAAGGTCAGCCTGTGCTAGGCGCCCTGGCCCCCTCTGGACCCACCCATGCCCCGGCCTGTGCGGCATGGAGTGAGGGGTGATGGGCAGGGACAGGGCAGGGTGCGGTCAAGACTCACCAGGGGCCGCGTGCACCAGGCTCCCGAGGACGGGCAGCGCCAACACCAGCAGGCTCAGCATCTGGAAGGGGCAGGGAGGGGGCATGAGCGGGGCTGGGCCGGGGTCTGCAGGGTGTGGGGTGCAGGAGGGAGCCGGGGGCCACGGGGCTGTCCAGGGCACAGAGGGTGGGGTCCATACCCTGGCCTGTCCCTGTGCCTCTCTGCCCAGCGGGCTCTCCCCTCCCCTTTTATCCTTCCAGACCCGGATGGGGTCGGGGGGCTCCACCCTCCAGTGCAGACGTGGAGGAAGTGGGTGACTCAGACCCAGGGCCCAAGTCTGCTTGGTCAGGAAGGGACCCTGCTGTCCCCACACCCATGTCAGACTCAGCTGCTTGGAGGACTCCAGCGGGCACCATCTCTGCTGCCATCTGTGCGGCCCCCTGTTATCTCGGGATCTGAGCTGCACCCACAGAGGGAGGAGCAGAGGACTGAGGGGGCCACAGCACAAGAGGCCAGCGCCTGCCCCCCTCGGACGCCCCTAGCCCCACCACCCCTGGGCCCTGTCCCGAGTCCAGGGCAGACTGCCACCTCCCGACTCTGGCTGGGCCTGCTGGTCACCAGGGCCCCAGCCATCTCCTCACCCTCTGACCTCTTGGGGCCCTGGGGACCCCACACAGCACCCAAGGAGGCCCTCGTCCCACCCCCACCCTGCCTGGGGACCTGCTGGCTCTCCTGCACACCCAGGGCACATTATGGGGACTCCTCCCGGACAGCAGCCTCCGTGGGAGGGGCGGGGGTGTCCAGACCCCTCTTGCTCGGAGACCCTGGTCCCCATTCATTCTCCCAACAAACTCCCAGGAGGCCTCCCAGTGCCCCGCCTGGTTCTAGGAACAAGGCCCACAGGTGGAACCCTCAGGAGCCCAGGTGGTGAGGGGATGGGACAGGGACATAGGGACAAGGGCCAAAGGGCAAGGAGCACAGCGGAGGCCTCCCCTGCAGGCCCTGCCCAGTCAGGGGCTCTGGGACCTGGTCCTCCAAGAAGTGTTCCTATTGGCTCAGGCCCAGAAGGCAGTCCAATCAGCATGAGGATGCCCTAGCTATGATTGGCTAACGCTGAACCAATCCGGGCCGGCCCTGAGGACCCCTCCCCCCTCCCCTGCAGGGCCCAGGGCCAGGCCAGGAGGTCATAGGACCCAGGAGGTCCTGCCCAGAGCACCTCTCAGGGCAGGTGTCCTCAGGCTGTACATGCAGCATCCTAACTCTTGTCATCCGCCAGCAAAAACCCACGATTCGCTGAAGAAATGCAAGTGACCGTGTGCACGAACAGATTCAGTCCAGTTCATAACGAAAACGCACAACAAACCGGGCAGTCGCTGGGTTCAGATGTCCGGAGCTTCCCGAGACTTCGTCCCCACGGTGCGGGCATGTGTGTCCCGTGGGCTCGGGAGAGATGCTGTCGGCAGGCAGCGTCCAGCAAGGGCCGCGAGACAGTGACCTCCTCGACCTCACAGTGGAATGCTGGCGCTCCGGAGACCGTGGGGTGAACGAGTGAGTGAGTGAGTGAATGGATTCCCGAGGGGTGTTCCCAGCACCCGGGGGGCCCCTGTGGAGGTTTCTTGCTGGGCCCCCAGGCCCCAGCAGGGAGGACCCGTCCTGTCTGAGGCCTCTGTGCTTGTCCGGCCCTGGACGCACGAGCAGGGAGCTCTGTGGTGGGTCCCATCCTGCCAGGGTGTGGGGAGCCCAGGCGCCGGGTCACTGCAGGGCCAGACTCGGGGGCCCTGGCTCCGTGGCAGTGAGGCCCACCGGCCTGAGGCAGGACCCCTGATGAGCAGGGCCAGGGGCCTCTGAGAGCCCCACGACACAGCCAGGTGCCCAGACAGCCTCAGCCTGCCAGAGCTGGCCACCTGCGGGGGACGGGGGCCCGGGGGGAGAGCAGGGCTGGGCCACCTCCGGTGGGTGCGCTGCCCCCATTGGAGGAGCAACGCGGAGGGTGGGCCTCCCCTGGGTGGCTCTGAGCACGGCAGAGGGAAGCTGAGGAGATCGGGGCTGGGGCAGGTGGCTGTCGGGGATCCCGGGAGAGGGCAGCCTGGACGTACCTGTTTTCAAGACAGTCTCGCGGAGAGCTGGCCGCTCTGCGGCACGGCTGGTAGGAGGGGCGGACTTTCTATTGTGCATCCATGTTGCACCTACTGAGCACAGGTGAGGGGCCCTGGCCCCTGTGAGGGCCGCTGCAACCGGCCTCGCTTCTCGGGGAGTGAAAACGGGGGGAGGAACGTCCTCACAGGGTCGTTTTACTTTTCTCTCACTCACCTCCTCCCCAAGCTCCATGTTTTGGGGCTTACCAGTCCTGTGAAATGTGCATCATTTAAAACATTCCTCGGCTGTCTTAGCCTCCACGGTGAGCAGGGTGCTGCGCTGCAAAATCCAGTCTGCCCTGAGACAGAATCCTTGGCCTTAGAAGCCAGAGACTCCAGCCAAACCAGAGTCTGGAGGGCTTCCTGGAGGAGGCAGCCTCTGAGCCCCCATCTGAGGGGGAAACTTCAGTGAGCAGGTGTTTCGGGAAAATCTCAGGACAGTGTAGAAGAACCAGCTTCCAAACTGAGATGGAGCCAAGAGACCAAGAAATGACTCGGGCCTGTCTTGAAATGTGCTGGTGGAGGCCTCCCTCCCTCTAAGACCCAAGCGTCCTTCCTGGTAGGAGGGAAGAGCAGAAACTCTTTTGGAAGGAGAACAGTCGCTCAGGGGATAGTCTCAGGGTGGCAGAAGCGCCTTCCTCCTGCAGAGGGACTTCCACTCTCCCAGCCTGGGGCTGTTACTCTCCACCGCTCGGAGGGAGGGAGCTCGGTGGGACAGGGCGGCCCCTTCATCCTGCCCCCAGGGGCCCACTTTGTCCAAGATCTTCCCGCCGCCTCTCTCCTCTCCTCTGCAGAAGGACAGGGGTGGGGGCCGCCTCTCCCTGAGCGCAGAACTGTTGAAGGACTAACAACCGGTTGTGAAAGCCAGAATGCGACCACAGACTCACAGGGTGAGGACACAAGCCCGACTGGAAACCAAAGGAAGGAAAAAGGAAACTGGAAGAGGGAGGGAAACAGACATCCTGACTGTTGGAGAACAACGTCCAAGAAAACCCTGAAGGTTAAACTCGGGACGTTCCCAGGAAGGAATTTACATCAGGAGCAGAGGACAGCGAGGTCTTGGAGCAAACGCTTCTGGACAGAGCGCAGAACCTCCGCCACGCCAGACACCAGAGCTGTGGAGAGAGCGGCCGCGGTGCCGTGCGAACCGCTGTAGCCCAGCGCGGCCCCACGGGAACGGGAAACGGAACCACACAGAGACCGGTACACACGTGTTCATGGCTGTGCTCTTCATCACAGCCAAACAGTGGAAACAACCCGACGTCTGTCATGGTGAAAGGACAGACAAGGCGTGGTCCGTCCAGACAACGGGACACAACTCGGCCACAAAAGGCAGTGACACGTGATAACACACGGGTCACATTTGGCAGTTTACTTCGAAAGCGCGCAGGCTTCCAGATTAGCCCGCCGTGGGGAGGTCAAGGTGACACCCCGTCCCGGGGTGAGGGACTTACCGTGAGTCTCCCACGTCGTTCACATACGGATCAGTGCCCAGGACCGGCGCTGGGTTATCTCCGAATCGGGGCGTTTTTTCTGAATGTCTCGCGCGGAGACATCATAGCCTGCGTGTTGCCACCTTATCCGGTGGTTGCAGCTCTGTGTTGTACCTTCTGAAGGAAAGGGACCCTCCAGTGTGAGGAGTCCCCCCCGTTCCCCCAAACTGCCCTGTAACAGGCTTCCAACTCCCGGCAGACGCTGGAACTCTCCAGCTCTGCTGCTGTGTCTTCTGGGTCCGTGCTCTCATTTGGCTTCCAATGAACCTTTATCAAATTTCTGCCTCAACAGCCTTAATTTCGATCAACACCTGCGACAACATGCATGAACCGAAGACAGTCTACGTGAAAGGGGCCAGTCCCAAAAGGATACACATTGTGTGACACCACTGAATGTCCCCACGGGGCATCTGCAGAGGCAGAACGTGGCCACCAGGGCCCGGGGCAGACTGGGGATGGATGAGAAAAATATGCTGTGAAATGGGCGGCCCGATGGTCGCAGCGCTCTGCGAACAGACTAAAATCACCGCCGTATGCTCTGAGTGGGCGAACTGAACGGTGTGTGAATTGCATCTCAGTAAAGCTGTTTAAAAAAACAACCTCCACCAACAGCAACAGATCGTCATAAACATTCCAGACAGAAGGGATCCTTCCGGCCCCTGAGGTGCTGGATCTATTCCCACGTGGCAAACAGCCCCTCCCCCGCGCAGCCCGGGTGACAGCTGAGTGAGGGGAAGGACCTCGTGCACCCACCACACCCCGTGTCCACAGCACTCTCCCAGAGCGGGCACGGCCACGCGGCTCTGTGCCACACGGCCCTCAGAGAGAGATGCCACATGCCCACAGGCTGGCCCGTAGCAAGGCTCTGTATGGGCTGGGACAGCAGGGAGACAGAGACAGAAAGCATGTCAATTTCTCCAACTGTCACACTCCAGCCAAATGACAGCTCTTGCACAAAGAGCGGAACGGCTGCTCTGTTGCGAGAGGAGCTCGTACCCTGTGAGGTTTCAGCGTGTTCCCAGCGGGTGTCCACTTTCTGAAGTCAGCCCAGTGTGGTACGACATGGGTCCCAAGGCTGGGACACCTGCCTCAGGCAGGATGGAGCCACAGTGTGACCTCCCGCTTCAGACCACCAGCCGACGGGGGAAGTGCATGAAACAGCAGGTTACAGACACCAGGCAAGAGGCAGCGTGGGGCGTGTGCCTGAGAGGAGGGCAGAGAGCAAGGTGCGACCAGCGACAGTTTCCAGGACAGGAGCAGGGAGGGGAACCCAGGCAGGGCAGGGGCTCGCTGAGCCGGGGAGGCAGACACGGGGTCTGGAGAGGTCACGGCGGCCAGGATTAGTGCAGCACAAAACCAGAGCGCAGAGAACGCACACCGAGAGCTCCAGAGATCTGCAGGGGTCCCCTGGGGTCCTTGGCCAGGTGCTGTGAGTGCATGAGAGGACGGTGGGG